CAATAAATATATTTTAGTATAATTCATGGTACTCAAACTGTGCAAAAGTTTATAGTTTTAGGTAGATTTTTTTTTGACTTGGAAAATAGTTGTAATTTGTGAGGAAGTTTCATTCTCTTCTTTTACAATAAACACATAAACAAGAAAAAAATAAGCACTCCATTTTTTTTCTTTACAAAAGGGCAAAGATGATGAAGAGGCAGCTTACAGAATAAAAAAATTCAAAGATCTAACGTATGTGATTTTGCATTTAATTTCCCGTACTACATAAGAAATACAACTAAAATCAACTATGTGTATTTTATCATATTATATTAGCATGTATAGTCTGAACTACGTATGTGTGTTTGTGTGTGTCTTTGAAAGGATGAGAAGGTAGGAAGTTGCAATGGAGAGAAATATTCAAAAGAGATGGATAATTGCTCTTACAGGAAGTGAAGACTCAGAGGGACTTGCAGACTACGTTAACGCGCTTAGAATTCACTCTAAGGACTACAGAAAGTCACTGCAGAGTTTTAAGTTCAGGAGTGCCTGGCTGCTGATCTGCATGTTAGAAACATCCCATTGGCTGCATGGAGGATGAATAAAGATCCAGATAAAATTATGTCACTAATTCCCTTCATAGTGAGACATACCGATCTCCAAATACCTTACAACTCAATCTTTTGAGAGTACAATTTTTAAAGAATGATCTAAGTCACCCTAATCACATATTATAACAAATAATAATTATAAAAACAGCAATCAGCAGAGTATAGAAGAGTCAGCTACATGGATAAACATAGGAATATAACGCTGGTATAACGTCCTTGGGTAACAGAGTAAAAGGCAATCATATCAATAAAACTATTGCAGACTAATGCACCTCACCATTTTCCACCAAATCATCTCCAACAGTGAAGGACAATGAACTTGTTCCTTAAGGGCCCAGGCACAATCTCCTGAAAAGCTGATTTCATCTTAGGTTCTCACACAAATGCTACACTCTAATCCTCACTATACTAACTCGATTAACTTCCATCAAATAAAATTGATGTTCCAGGAACATGACTCTATTGTCATCAAGTAATGTAAGCACAGAACCAGCCCCAAACTGGCCCCATCTTGTTTCTAACAAGATACTAAGTTGTTCTCCAGAGAAAACAGAACAAAACCACAAGTTCTGCAGCCAAAGCATGTGCAGAGGAGAAAATTCTGATCTCAAGCAACACTAGGAACCAAAGTGTCTCCCCGAGTGGCGTTAAAGGACTGGAACACGACTGGAACCTGAAGGCTTGAGGGCTTTCAGAAGCGAAAGGTCTATTGTCCAGGATGATTCAGAGCTGATCTTTTCTGCATTTTTTTTTTACCCCTTAACCATATGTTACCAGAAACAGCACACCAGCCTCCCTGCCCTAACTCACGGACGCTTGACCGAAACCCAGACCAGGGAGGCCGGTTCAAGCCTCCTGTCTCCTTGCTAGTGGGCCTCGCAGTACATCTTTTTCTTTTCTCAGAAGCCAGTGTCATAATATTAGCTTCTGTGCGTGTCAGGGAGTGAGCCCTTTGCTCCTTGACTGTGATCATATCATCCTCAACCACACCACGTCCTGTGCTCACCTTACCTTTCAATATTTGCACGCTTAGTGCGAGCAGCTACTCTGGACCTCTGTCAGGAAAGAGTTTTATTGGTTTAAGCCTCATGTGGAAGTGGTATTTGACTGTATCTCACACATCTGGCTGGCGGGGACTTTTTCTTAAATGTTTTGCTGTCTCAACATGTCTTATCATTAAGCCAGGTGTTTTGTATATGCCTCTAAGTCTATAAATCAAATAAATGCATTAAAACGTTGAAAAATGGGAAGAGAGAGTGATGTTGAAATCGAGTTCCCCTGACACCGAGTTTCTCTGCAGAGTTTACGACTAACCACTCTATCTAAAACCTTATTCCCTTCCTCGTCCAATACCTGTTCCCCTAAGATTGAAGACCATCAAAGGAAAGGAGGAAAGGGGGAGTTGAAACCGAGCAGGACCCGGGGGCCCCTCCCAGGTACAAAAGCCTTTCCATATCCCCTGTTTCTCATTTGTAGGCTTCAGTCTCTTAGACCTTCCCTGAGTTCCAAAGGGCAGAGGCAAACAATTACTGATGGGGCGCGAGGAGGAAAGGCAGAAACAGAGGAGAAGCAGTCAAGGAACAATAGTGCAGCAATAAATCGGGGTCTTGGTTCCTCCTCAAGGGATGTACATAGCAATATACCTCTGAGTTCGTCCACAGGAACTAAGGGCCCCACCCAGGTGGGGGATGGTAACTTCAGGCTGAGCACAAGCATGTGGACCCCTGACTGGTAGGCTCCAGAAGGCTGATGATTGACATTCCTGGAGCAACTCTCTGTTACCTCATCACCAACCAATCAGAGGAAGGTCGCACACCCTGCAGACCTCCCCGCAAATTGTGCCTATGAAAACTCTTCCTCGAAACCATCCAGGGGTTCAGGGGCCCTTGCAATAAAACCTTCTCTGCTCAAAACTCTAATGTTTGAGTATCTTTGGCCTCACTGTGCTTTCGGACACACAAACTCGGGTTGGACGACACTATGTGTGTTCCCTAGCAAGAAAATTACAACACTGGAAGTAGCAGCAAGTTGGCTGTTGGAGACAGCGGTACTGAGAAGAGATTTAGCAGCAGTAAGGCGAGCACGGATAATCCAAACGGTGAGCCTGAACAAATTAGCAGGAGCCAGACTTGGAGGCAAAGAACTGAAATAAGAAAATGACTTCAAACCACTGAAAGGGATCTGAGTTCGCCAGGCCAACATACTCCATTTTGATACAAGGGTCATTTTAAGCTGAAGACACTTGAGATGCAGCAGATACAGGAGGAAGCCTTCCCTTATCTGACTAGAAGCAGACACTTCTGAGAGAGAAGGCTGCCATAAATCCCCCTTTTAGGGTAGCTTACCCCCAGGAGAAAGACTGAGAGGAAACCTACCCGAAGTTCCTTCTCTCGGGGAATTTTTGGCCATGAAGAAGAGGAAGAGCCTACTCACATCCGCTTGAACAGACGCGGTCGCCGGTTCTTACTTCCCGTTTGTACTCTTGAAAAACCCACTTGAGTAGAAAGACAAGTGTGTCTGTTCCATCAAAGTCATTTCTTCTCCCTCCCTTTCCCCTGCTAAGTAGGTGCCCAAGCCTTTACCTTTAACCACTTAGAGTCAGCTGCTTCTTTTGTTAGCTCGCATATGCATACAAATAAACCCTTCTCTCCTGTTAATCGGCGTTGTCCTCCCCTACAACATAGTGAAATAAAACCACTCACTTGTGAAGTTTGTATTGTCCTGCTGTTTCCTGGGAGAGAACTTCATACAATTGCACTCTTTGGTTCCATTCTCACTACCAAACATCTCGCTGCAGGAATATGTGCTCAGATGACTTACTAAGAAATGAAGAAAAGTAGTAACGCTAATTAGATTTCTACAAACATAACCCTGTGCCTTTTAATTCTCCATTAAAACAAGTGAATGCACAGACTGCTGGTTGACAGGAGGTCTGTTTCTAACATTTGCACCTTTTAATTTGACAAAGGATGGTAATAAGCTTAGAGATTCGGATGTCCACTTAGGGAAAAAGTACGTAGAAATAATAAAGACAAATTGCCTAAATAAATTTAAAATATATTTAAATTTGCATCTGTTTAGTATAATAGGTTAGAATTCTGTGTGATCTTCAACTAGTAATGCAGCCTCTCTGTTCCACAGTTTCTTCATACATAAAACGGGGAAATATTTAACGAACTTAGACTTCTTGTAAGGCTAAAAGATAATGTTCATAAAATGCTTATCACAACTCCTAACATGTGTAGGTCACAACAGATGGAAACAGTAGCAGATAGAATTACAGCTCTTACTGAGGTAGATCTCATTTTTAGGAATAAATCTTTAATTTTACTTACCCTTCAAATTTCAAGCAACTGACAAATGTTGTCAAAACTTCAACATATCAAGTCACATGTAAAGTGTAAAAGTTTTATGTAAATGACCAAATCAACTTTCACAAAACTAAATGCTTTCACCAAAAAATAAAACTCCAGTTCATGGAATTGTGACTACTAAACTCGCACCGTTTAGCGATTAATTACTATTATGAGCAGAACAGACTTTATAAATGAACAAGATTTTTATGTCTTCTGTATAAGGAAAAACTACTAATTATTAATAAAATCATCAACTGTGTCATTTAATACCAACATAATTTTTTAAAACGATGAAAGAGAATATCAGGTAAAGGTGAACAATGATTCTGGAAAAGTTAGAGAAATTTTTAAAACTCCAAAGGAAATATGTTGGTCTCGACAGTTGAACATACAGCTTCAATTTACTCACCCCAAGTGGTTAGTCCTAACACTGCGACGACAAGCAAAATCAGGGCGATGCTAGTCAGTCTCAGAGCAGTCTGATGCCATTTTGGACATTCAGGGTAATCTGTAAGAATTAATTTTTGTTTCTGAAATATTTAAACGTTTAAAATGAACTTGAAAATGTGTCATACAAATGTCATATTTGGAGGGTATGCATTATCTTAAGGTGAGGGAAAAAAAACTACAATCTCTGTTTAAATTTCCTTGCCACAGAGAAAGGAGGGGAGGGACAATTTAGGAGTTTGGGATGAACAGACACACCTACTGTATATAAAATAGATAAACAACAAGGGCCTAGTGTATAGCACGGGGAACTATATTCAGTTTCTTATAACAAGATATAGCAGAGAAGAATTTGAAAATATATGTAATTATATTTTCTATATAGTTGAGAAACTAACTGGAACTGACATTGTAAGTCAACTACACTTCAATAAAAAGATAAATTAAAAACATTCATATTGCCACAAAAAAATTAATAAATTGCCTTACCATGAACACATGTTTAATTATCTGTAAAAAACTGGACGTGTTGATTCTAAATTAGGAGTCAATGTGCTTTATTTGCTATTTATTAAATACTCCTCTTAACACTTCTGTTCCAAAACTATAATTCATATAATAATCACATTAATTAAAACATGTCCACTAAAATCTGTCATTTACCTTTATGTACATCTTGACTGAATTAAACAGATAATATTCATTGTGACTGAGGCCCAGGAAGGAAAAATATAAGTACCAAAATACCAAAATAATTGAATGACAGTAAAAATGAGTGCCTCATGTAGAAACATAAACAAGATTGAGTACTGCAGCCATCTATTTTCCTAAATGTTGTTTGAAATAAAAGTTGTATATCTATGTCAATTCGTGAAACAAAACTCAGGTGCCAATCTTTATGATTATAAACTTTGCTTCGATTAAGGAAGCATTATAACACTTTCATAATTTTTAACCCAGATCAAGTCAAATCTGATCCATTATATGCTCAATTGAACAATATTTATAAACGTATAATCACATGCCAGGAACTGGGCTGGATGTAAGCGTTGCAGAGAGAAAACTGCCCAGCCGATGGGGAGACATCTGTGTAAGCCTATTATTTCAGAATAAGTTCATGAATTTTCTGAGCAGTAAATTCTAGTTCAAGTTCTTAAAAACTTCCCATTAAAAGCCTAAGATTACGAGACCCACAGAAAATTCTCGCTGTATCAATTCCTACCTTTGCATGTCCACTTGTGTTGGCAGTGGTAGGGATGTTTCCTTGGCTTCTTCACCATTGCTCTCTCTGTGTTTTGACTCTGTCCAAACTTTCTATAAATAGAATAATCCATGTTTGAATGAGATGGAGAGAGAGACATCACCTGATCAAAAACAGTCAGTGTCTACAGACTGTGGCACCGAAACAAAGCTTAGAGCTAAAAAACCACAAAGGATATGGTTTAAGTTGGGGGAACTTCATTGTTTGAATGAGTGTTTTCTTTCAGGATATTTTATAGAAAAATTGTGAAGGTAATACAGACAGAGTTGCCATATACCCAACACCCAACTTCCTCTATTATTAACATACTACATTAATATGGTACAGTTTTTGAAACTTAATGAATTAATGTTGATATGCTATTATTAATTAAAGTCTATACTTATTCAGTTTTTCCCTAATACCTTTTTCTTTGTATTTACCTAACACCTTTTTCTAATCAAGGGTCCCATTCAGGATGTCACAATGCATTCAGTCCTCACGTCTCCTTGGGAGTGACAGTTTCTCACTCCTTTCTTATTTTTGATTATTTTTAACAGTTCTGAGAAACGTTGCTCAGATATTGTGTAACATGTTTCCAAATTGAGATAGTCTAATGTTTTTTCTCATCATTATATTTGGGTTATAGGTTTTTGGAGGAAGACCACAAGATAAATTACCATTCTTAGCACACTTTACTAAGGGTACATACTATCAGCATGACTGCACTTGACTGCAACAGTGTTTGGAAGCTTTATCTACTGAAGAGTTACTCTTTGTTCCTCATTTCCATGCTGTACCCCTTGGAAAGAAGTCAGTGTGTGCAGTCCACACTTATGCCCCACCTCTTTCAGAACGGAGCATCTACATAAATCATTTGCAATTGTTCTGCAGAGGATACTTGGTTAGTGTCTCATTTACTTATTTATTCAATCATTTCTATCAGTAAAAATCATGCACATTTATTTTACATTTTGAGTTATAATCGAATACTACTTTTTTGTTCACATTGTTCCAGCTTTGGCCACTGGGAACTCTTTGAGTTGGCTCCATGAGTTTACACTGATGTCTCCACCTCTAATACATTACATCATGGGCCAGGCTAATCTCCTTATTTGCATTTTTATAATCTCCCACTCCAATAGTGAGAAACATGGCTACCACCGTCACCATTCATTTACTTAATTGTTCAATTCCAATATATGTATTTAGTGGTTTCAGAGATGATATCCCATATCATGTGAGAAAATATTTTATTTCTTACAAAACATCTGATCTATCCAAAGCATCCATTGAGACATTTGGGCCATGATTCATTAAATAATACAAACATTAACTTTGTTAAAATTTTGTGTTTTTATTATTATAATTCATGACAAATTTTAGATTTCACATTTATCCTTGCTCTTTCTCAAATGAAGTTTGGCAGGGTTACTCCTAAATCCATGAGCAATTTTTCTCAATTGTTGGTTTTTTGTTTGCTCTGTTAACAATTTTGTATATACAAATTTGATTTTGTCATTATTTTCGTGACTGTGGTGGCCATATTTGAATGTGACCACTAAGAACCTGGGTGATAACTTGTTCATTGCTTTGCTGTTGATCTTTCAACACTTCAGTGGATCTCCAAATTGAAGAATAATGCACTACCATCAGCTCTTGAATTTTGCCAGCCTTCTGCTGAGTTGTTCTTCCTGTGATCACTGTTCAGTACTGACGTATAAACATTCTAAATTCCTGGTAGAAATCTTGGAACTTTTGATCTTCTTCTGTCCCCGCCATGCTGTCCATGGACATACACTCTCTCAGCATAATCCATTAGATTGTCTAAATTCTCTTCTGCATTCTCCACAATGTACTCACAAGTTTCATTTACATCTTCTAAAGGCACAAGTGGAAGCCCAAACAATATGGTGCACACTTACGGGTTAACCATTGTCATAAACTCACATGTCAGACCCAAAGACTTTATATATATACATACATACATACATACATATAGCCACAGTGATTGTGAAAAGTGAAACAAGCATTCTTTACTTGCTCATTTTGTAGGAGCAGTCAAATTGTGTTTGTATTTGCATACAAAATCCATCATGCACATTGAAGGGTTAATGTCGAGATTTCTTTCCTGTGCAAATACAGATATTTTCTTATATACATATGTAAGTCTTGTCTTACCTTTTCATTGTTAGTGCATAAATCAACGGAACATCATAGGTTCACTGCCCTAAAAGAAGCCCCTGTGTTTCACTTTCCAACCCTATCCCTCTCCCAAACTCTGATAATATTTACCTTCTCTACAGTTTTGCCTTATCCAGACATCATATAAATGAAATTATATAGAATAGGGCCTTTTCAAACTGACTCCTTTCAATAAGAAATATTCATTGAAGATTTATCTATATGTTTTTGTGGCTGGAGAGCTCATTTTTGTTGTTGCTGTTCCCAGCATATGAATGTACCACAGTTTGCTTATCCATTCTCCTCCTGAAGGGCATCTTAGCTGCTTCCAGCTTTGGGCAGTTATTATGAACATTCATGTACAGTCTTCTGTAGCATTCCATTGTATAAATACATCGCAACTTCTTCATCCAGGCATCTGTCAATGGACATTCAGGTTGCTTCCATGTCTTAGCTATTGCATATAGTGCCGCTATGCTTCCTGAAGTCGTAGTATTGTGAGAGATAACATCTGTATCTGCGATGAGAAAAACCAACACACAGAAGAGGAGAAAACAAATACGGGAGAAAATAATCTGTTGCTCTTGAGACTAAAAAATGTGACTTATACAGAGTATAAGAATATATAACCCAAGTCTTTAGAGAAACTTTTTTTGCCTGAAGCAGAAATCAAAATTCTTTACTGATAGTTTATGTAGAAGAAGTAATAAGAGTCTAGATCAATTAAAGATGCAGTGAGCCAATGGGAATGTATCAAAAGACTCACTGAATGTGTGTTAGTGACCAGAACATCCAGAGAAGTTAAGCCTTCAGTTGCTCCTCTCTATGACATTTTATAATTTGAGAACTCGAAACTTCATCATACTATTTTTTCAACATGGACATTATGTTCCATTCATTCATTTTATTTCAATTTTTTAAAAATTTTAATCGGATGATGGGAGAGTTTGTTTCTGCTTATATGTTAAAATTGTTTTAGTCCTTATAAACTATTCAGTTGGAATAATTTAAATGCTTTCCCTCTCATAAAATTATTAAAAATATGTTCTACCTATTTTTCTATAATGAATACAAACTGACATCACACACATAGAAAGAATGACTGCTTTTAATTATTGGTCTACAGTGAGAGAATCTATAGGATAAGACAGAAACATATGCAACTTTTATTACTTAAAATGTTCATTCAGATTCCTGTTTTTGACACATTCAAGCAATGTCTCATAATTTGAAGGAAAAAAATGTATGGATCTGTAAGTCTCGTGAGAAATGAGACTCTGAACTATTGATTTACTTTTTTTTTTTTCCTGAGGGAGCAAGTGCAAATAATCTAAGTTGTGGTCCCTGGTCATGATCACATTTTCTGAATGGTCTTATTAAAGATAATGATGTGGTCATTTGAAACAATACCAATTCCAAATGAAAGTGTTGATTTCTGGGACTCCGAGAAAGGAAGCCCTAGTCAGAGGACCAGTCCTTTCAATTTCTGTGCAAAGGAAAGACAGCATCTCCTGTTCACATGTAACATAATGTTATTCATCCCTGATCCTCAGAGGAAAGCAGAGCTCAGCCACAAGCAATACAGGATTGGGTCACTCAACTCACCATTTGGTTTTGTGTGTGTGTGTGTATGTCTGTGTATGTGTTTGCTGATGAAAACATAATACAACTGAAAATACACTGTGAGCTAATAGAGCTAAACCATTTTTAGAATTGTGCCTCATAATTCCTCTGGCAATAATCTGTTAACAGAAAAATCTGAGCTGTTGACCCTGGGATATTTCAAAAAGTGACATATGGCAATATACATTTTGGGAGGGTTTTTTTGTTTATTTTTTTATTTTTTATTAAACAGTGTTGTAAAAAGTGTTTCTGCACCTACTGAAGTACATGGCTGTGCATCATAGACTTTGAGAGTGCAAGGAGATAATTAAATGAACCAAATTCATAACTTTGGAGCTGAAATCAACCATAGATAGAAGCCTTGTTCCAAATTTGTCATCACAGCCTTTAAAAAGTTCAGATTCCTGGTTCCCAACCCCCAAAATTATAATCCAATAGATTTGGGGTGGTGTGTGGGAATGTATATTTTAAACAAAAGCTCCCCAGATCATCTTGACACACATTGTAACTGGGAGGCATTGGTCAAAACGAACAGTTCAGTTTTGAAAATGAAAAAATAATATCTTCTGATGTTAACTGCTCACCCAGACAATTGTAATAAAGAAGAAACTGAAACACAGCCTCCAGCACTCTTTCTAGCATACAAAATTACTCTATTACTGACTCTTTTTCTAATGGATATAATTTGACAAAAAATGAAATTGATAGCTCACAAGAAAAGTTAAGTGAAGGTAACTATCTTGTTAGTTTTATTCCTCTAAATATCTCCAACTTGACTAGCTGGGTCATACACCAGGTCCTGTTTCATTAAGCACCCAAATCACAATATCCCAAGTTCCATCCCACTTTACTGAATACAGAAGAAAATCAGTATTTACCAATTTCACTTTCCTGAATATTTAAAAAAGAATCAATGACAATTCTTCTCAAGCTTTTCCCAAAAATTTAAGAGGAAGGAACCCACCCAAATTTATTTTATGAGGCCAGAATTACTCTGATACCAAAGCCATAAAAAGACAATACAAGAAAAGAAAATTACAGACCAATATCCCTGGTGAATATAGATGCAAAAATTAGAAAAGATACCTGCAACACACAGTGTTTAAAGAGAATCTCCAAGTATATTAAAATAAAACACCAAGAAAACATAGGATAAGAAACACTCACAAGCAAGAACTGGGCAAAACACTTGAAAAGGCTTTCACAACAATTGATATTTAAATAACTAGTACACATGAAAAAAGATGGTGATTCTTGGTATAATCAG